GTGTGTGGCTTTAGGTGTTGCGTATCCTCTACACAATTAAGCACTTGCCTTGTGGCAAATTGACCTCAGCACTCACTCTCACAGAGGAAAAAGTGGGAGGTGTCCAGCCAGAGACACCTCGCTCTCACCCTCTCACTGTCCACATGTCTGGTAACAACAAGCTCATTAAAAATAAGTGAAATCACTCTTCTCGTTCTCCTTGCTGTTAATCCCGTGTTGAAATCACTTAACTAGATAGCTAATCATAATCCTCATTTTCTTTAAAAAAGGAAAGAAAGTCCCATGCATGGCATTAAACAAGTGAAATTTTAAGAAGTTCTCTTTCTTGAAGTTGGTTGTTATCTTTGCTGATGCCCTAGTGCTTGCTGTTGTTGATGTTGAAATGACCTACTTAGCTACCTAATCATAATTAGGAAGTGAATAAACACATCCACGGAGTTAATTAACGGTATGCTAAAAAACCGTTGATCTGCCTAATTGAATGGGAAAAACATGTCTCGACCATTGCAATAGCATCAACAAAAGGCATGTCAATACATTTGGGTGGGTATTGCATTCAGGGACAATGGGCGAAGAGAGCGACATGCAGTTGATTTTGCTTGGTAACTATATTTGTTTCCCTTTTTTAGGACCCTGATAAGTGCACATGGCAACTTCGAACATTTTCGGTGGCAAGTTTTGTTACACGAGTATGGAAACTTTAGTTGACAAGTATGACAACTTTCGTGCTTCAGTTTATTTTTGACAGAAACTTATCATGTGTCACTGCAATTTGTCATCCTTGCGTGACTGCAATTTCGACCAAAAAAACGTCAGGGCCGGAGTGCCACGCACCTGAAGTGTGGCACTTATCATTTAGGTTTTTCTATTTTGTTATCCTTGTCGTTTTTATCCATGCAGAGAAACCTGTCTCAAGCTTTTAATCGTATAATTTAAATCCAGGATACGATAAATAATCAAATTTTGGACTAAGCACATGCCTGAATTGTGAAGTTAAAAATTGGCCTAACAGAATGGGGCAGCCTGTCACCATCATGCAGCAAACAAAAGCCATACTACTGATACACTTGGTCCATCCAACATGCATGCATGAACAAAAGAAAAACACACCGGTATGTATACAGTTTTTTCTTCTTATCTGTAGAAATTATTCGTTCATATATGTTTGTGTGTCCACTGTGCCATTCGAATGGTTGTAGCAAATCAATTGAATTGTCCATGTCATGGACCAGCTAGCTAGCATAGTATTGTTTTTGTGTGTGTGGCTTTAGGTGTTGCGTCTCTTCTACGTACATTGTTTTCCGTGTATTACCTTTCCCGTCAGTAACAATCATCGGTGGTTTTTCCTTTATTATCCTTGATGATATTATCCATGTGTATATATGTATATCCACTGTGTCCTTTGAAATGGTTACAGCAAATCAATTGAATTGTCATTCTCATGGACCACTAGCTACCATTTTGTTTGTTTGTGTGTGTGTAGCTTTAGGTGTTGCGTATCCTCTACACAACTGAGCATTTGCCTTGTGGCAAATTGACCTCAGCACTCACTCTCACAGAGGAAAAGTGTGAGGTGTCCAGCCAGAGACACGTCGCTCTCACGCTCTCACTGTCCGCCTGCCTGCCTGCCTGTTAACAGCAAGCTCATTAAAAACAAGTGAAATCACTCTTCTTCTCCTCCTCCTTGCTGTTAACCTTGTGTTGAAATCACCTAACTAGGTAGCTAACCATAATCCTCATTTTCTCAAAAAGAATTAAAGAAAGCCCCATGCATGGAGTCAAACAAGTCGAATTTTAAGAAGTTTTCTTTCTTCAAGTTGTTGTTCTCTTTACCGATGCCCTAGTTGTTGCTGTTACTGATGTTGACATCACCTACTTAGCTACCTGATCATAATTAAGAATTAAACAACGACATCCATGGAGTTAATAGTATGCTAAAAAACGTTGATCTGCCTAGCTGAATGAGAAAAATATGTCTCGATCATAGCATCAACAAAAGTCATGTGAAGACACTTGGGTGGATCATGCATTCAGGAACAAAAGGAGTAGAGCTTGCTTGATAAATTTTATTTTTGCCTTCTTATCATGGTCGATTTTATCGGTGCAGAGAAAGGCTAATTAAGCAAGGAGCCGCGGCAGGAAAGAAAGTGTTTCATAGATGAATTCAGGAGTGAGTATGGCTGAATTGTGTAAACCGTAGATCGGCCTAACTGAATGGGGGAACCTGTCTCCATCATGCATAAAACAAAATCCATACTGCCATTTCGATGCACTTGGATATAATTAAGGAGCACAAACTGATATGCAGCTGATCTTGCTTGGTAACTCTTGCGAGTGTTCTTTTTCTTGTTATCCTCGACAATATATTCATCCATGCATATAATGTACTCCCTCCGTTTCTAAATATAAGTCCTTTTAGAGATTTCAATACGGAATATATACGGATGTGTATAGACATATTTTACAATGTAGATTCACTCATTTTGCTCCGCATATAGTCCATGTTTGAGCCTCTACAAAGGCTTATACTGAGGAACGGAGGGAGTATATCCACTGTGTCCTTTGAGATGGTTGCAGCAAATTAGCGGAGTTGTCATGTCAATATGCCATGCCATGGACCAGCTAGCTAGCTAGCATATTGTTTTTGTGTGTGTGGCTTTAGGTGTTGCGTATCATCTACACACACATTTTCCTCTCCTCCTTTTCCTCCTTTCGCCCTCTTCCACTTGTTCTTGCTCGATGGAAAGCGATGTTTCAGGCACAGGCAGAAACACACGAGAGATCATCATCATCATCTTCATGTAGCTTCCTGAAGGTTAATCGCAATTACATCTCCCGCATTGGTTCCACTGGATTGTATTCTAGATTAAGGTACGATACGCTGGAATAGATAAGAAAAGTTCAGGACAAGCTGTCAGTTAGGAGGAGCTAGCTGGTCACGCAATGAGCATTTCCAGTTGACCTCAGCACTCACTCTCATGGAGGACAGGACGAGAGTGAGAGGTGTCCAGCCAGAGAGACCTCACTCTCACACTCACTGTCCACCTGCCTGCCTGCCTGCCTGTCTTGTTATCAACAAGCTCATTAAAAAAAAAGAAAAATTGCGGTTGTTGTCCTCCTTGGTGTTGTTGTGGCGTTGAAATCACCTAGATATAGCTAGCTAATAATAATTGTTTGAACTCCCCATCCATGCAGTTAAACAAGTGAAATTTAAAGAAGTTCTTTTTTTGACGTTGTTCTCCTTCTCTTGTTCTTGTCGAAATCACCTACTTAAGTACCTAATTATAAATGGTCAAAGAAAAATACACAAACCTTCCTGCCAAGTTAGGGTTTCTTTTTCACTTTCGTGACTCCGGCGGCTATGGCACTCATTCCCTTCAGGCTTCGCCGGTGAGCCCATGGATCCACCTCCCCTCTGCCTGCCGCTCAGGCGGCCGTGGTGAGGGAGGGGGATCTCGGTGTCTCGACTTCGGCTAGTAGTTTAGGTTATGGTTTTTTTCTCTCGCATGAGGGGCGTTCAGGTAGATGGTGGTGGTTCATTTCGAGTTGGTCTTCCAGACTTTGATTCTCATCAAGTTTGTTCATCGGGATGGATTCGATGGAGCTCCGGTGTAGATTCATGATGTCTCCTTGGTGCGATGAGGTTAGGGTTTCTCATTGTTTGTGTGCGACGATTAGATATTTTAGATCTATTCAAGGGTTCAATGGCGATGATTCCGGCTCTAGTACGCCGCATCTTAGGGGCACGTGCACAAACACTTTCGAACTGTCATCTACGAACTCAAACCGGCTTAGGTAGGGGAGCGTCAACAGCTGCGCATAGACGGCCACTTCGGTGGTGCTCGATTTAATTTTTATTATGTATATAGGATGCTTTGCCCTTTTCACGAACCTTTGTAAAAGATCTAGGTCCTTTTTCGCAAAAAGGACTACCTTATCATAAGATTTGAATAAAATATTTTCATGCATGGAGCTGTTGACAGTATATAATTATTTAGAAAAAAATTATTTTCTTTTTTGAAGCGCAAGTGCAAAAGGCGTGACTAGAAAATACAGGTGCAAAAGGTGTGACTAGAAAATGAGCGATGTGGTCGTAGGCGGTAGGGAAAGCGAGACGTCACCAACCGAGTGGGAATGGCGATGAAAGGGAGCCCTCACGCCTTTCCCTCCACAATCACACCATCCTCCTGCCCTGCTCCTGCTCTGCTCTGCTCCATTGCCTTGCTTTCTCTGCCTGCCTCGAGGAGCTAGCTAGAAAGCGAGAAAGAAACCCGCCGGCGTCGGAGAAGAGGAAGGGGAGGGAGAGGGAGGATGTCGGACTGGGGGCCGGTGGTGATCGCGGTGGTGCTGTTCGTGCTGCTGTCGCCGGGGCTGCTGCTGCAGCTCCCCGGGAAGCACCACTTCGTGGAGTTCGGCAACATGCACACCAGCGCCATGGCCATCCTCGTCCACGCCATCATCTACTTCGCCCTCATCGCGCTCTTCGTCATCGTCATCGGCGTGCACATCACCACTGACTAGACACCGGCTGAGCTCCATCACCCTGGCCGGCCAGCTCCAATTAAGCTGCTCTTCCTTTTTCTTTTTTTCATCCATCTGACTCCCGCCTCTCTGTTTTGTTTTGTTCTGGTCTTGCTGCTTGCAAGTACTTGTAGTAGTGTATGTGATCAGGTTTGTTTGTTGTCCTTGGTAATTAAACTCGCGCGTATGTAGCTGCCTGATTAATAAAGAGATGTGTACTTAATTTTCCATGGGAGTGGCACAAACAAGTACTTATTTAATCGTCTGAAGCTCTAGATTAACTGGTAGATGTGTATATATATAATAAGGTTCCCATTTTTCTTGCAAAGCAACTACCTTCTTTTCAGCTACTCCTACAACGCGCATGAAATTTCAACCACCCCTCCAGCATTCCCTTCTGATATCCACAGTGTGGATTGATTACAATCAGTAGCTGCCCATCTGCATTCTTGGATTCATGACTCTAATGCAGCTACTAGTTGGATTTTAGCCAAGTAAATATGCAATACCCAATCAATTAAAACTACTCCCTGTAATGATCTAAAACGATCTTATATTTCTTTACAGAGAGAGTAGCTAGCTATGTATACTTTTCAGCACATATAATACATGCTTGATTAGTCGAACTGCCGACCTAGAAGTCACGCGCACGCCCTATACACGCGCACGCCCTATACGCGCACGCGCACGACCTAGAATAAAATTTTGAGCCGATAAAAGGTTAATTAGCTAAACTGATAACAAGATTCATTATGGCGACTTTTGTTAGTCCTGTGCATTCCAATCAAAGAGGAAGATGAGGAAAATCATCGTGCAGTCGTACTGCACTGTACTCTTGTGCTGTTGATGCCCGGGTCGGGTGGGCGGCTGGCCGGTGTGCACGTATGGCACGGCCAAGTCCCACACCAATCAATCGATCAGTCGTGATCAAGCTGACGGTGATCACTGCCGGTCCAACCACTACCATGGCAGCTACCGCCTTAACGTTGATGCTGCTAGAATATTGCCTAGCTACAAAAGCACCTCTTTAGTAGTATTATTATTTCTCTTTTTCTTTTTTTTCTGGTGATTAAGGAGCTTTTATTAATTATACAGCTGAAATGTATTTATTTACAATCAAGCACGTATGGACTCGATCGATTCAAAAAGTTACTCCCTCTGTTCCAAAATAAATGTCGTGGTCTTAGTTCGTAGTTCTCAGCTGACTACTCGTATTCGTCATCCTCCGTTAGAAAAAAAAAACGGCTAGATCTCTCTCTCTCTCTCATTTTGTGCTTCGCTAATCTCAATGTCCGGGACCAAACCAACGGCCCTCTGTGGCGATGTGGTGGTGGTGGTCGTCGTCCGAGAAAGTAGTGGAACCATTTCAAATTTCCTTTTTTTTTGCGGGGAATTTCAAATTTCCTTGTCTCAGTCGTGTTCCGACGCCCTCACGGCGTTGTTTTATTTTGCGAAATGCGCAAGCATTTTGAAGGGAGAAAATAAATTAATTAAGCGAGAAATGATTAAAATAGATCAATTTGTAGTAGATGCTACGCAAGCGTCACCTTCATGCATGTACACTTCAATCGACGATCGTCCTGGTAAGTGGCAACGACAAAAGGACATGATGATTCCGGTTACCACTAGCAGCTTGTCTGTGGAATGAGCTATGGCGCCTAATTCGCCTAGGTGGCCTGGTGCGTGGTCTCGATCAATGCCGATAAGGAGGATGAGAAGAAAAATGACATGATGTACACATGGGTGGCCATGCATCCATCCATGCTCTCATGTAGCATGATGACTTTCTCTACCGGGATATTCCCATCGATCGACAGCATTATTAACGCTAGGCAACATCATTTACTCAGACTTTTATGGAATATGGGCTTTGTTGTTGAGCTCTTTTACAGTACCCCTAATTATACATAAGCCGTCCATTTTGTCATATCCAAAGGATAATCTGCACAGGTATTCCAACCTAGTATCAAAGGAGCGCCGACACCAAAAGTTGTGGAGTACCGTTATCTTAAGGGTAAAATGGTACCATGGACAATTAAGTACGGTAACTGCTGTAATTTTAGTTATGAACACAACGTGGATCGCATCATTTTCTGACTCATTTTTATCAAAAGGTCATCACAATAATTAAACCCCGAGTTCATCAGCTGGACCATGGGGACGAGGCCCTGCCGGCGAGACGGGTGCCAGAGATCTGTAATTACTTTCTTCTTAATAAGCAATCACTGGTAGAAAAAGAGGCTTCCATACGCCCCCATTAGTCCCCAAAACAATCAAACCGCGACCAAAGGGGTCTTTAGTCGCGGTTCGGGAGAAGACCCGCGACCAACTATCTGGGCCCAGCGCGCTCGGTCGACAGCTGGCGGACGGGAGGGGCTTTAGTCCCGGTTGGCCTGGCCAACTGGGACTAAAGGTCCTCGAAGGCCTTTAGTCACGGTTGGCCAGGCCAACCGGGACTAAAGGCCCATCCCTATATATAGGACTCAGCTCACTTCACAATTTTCAGAAGGTGGTGGTGGGTTTGCTTTTGGTTTCTCCTATGCACACAAGGTGTTTGATGAAATGCCCGAGAGCCTGAAACAAACATGATATGAAGTGTCCGAGCCACACTTGAGCTTTCTCATTTATTTTTCCTCCGCGATCGCGGTTAGCAACTTGAACCTTTCATGTGTCATTGATAAAATACGCATGTGTGTAGTTCATTGTTTAATTTGTATTATTTCTAGCTAGTTAGTTTAACAAATGCATCATGGTTAATTATATACTTTATATAATAATAATGCAGATGAATCGGCAATGGATGTACGGTCCCCGACTCTCCGGCGAGTTCACTACGGGTTTGAAAGATTTCCTCGTAGTGGCAAATGCGAACAAGCAGCAAGGTTTTATTATCTGTCCATGTGTTGTCTGTAAGAATCAGAAGGGTTACTCCTCCTCAAGAGACGTTCACATGCACCTGCTTCGGCATGGTTTCATGCCAAGCTATAATTGTTGGACCAAGCATGGAGAAAGAGGGGTTAGAATGGAAGAAGATGAAGAAGGGGATGATATCGATGACAACTATCATGATCATTTCGGTGATACTTTCATGGAGGATGATGCTGAAGGTGGGGAAGGGTTAGGTGAAGGTGAAGAAGAGGCACATGATGAGCCCGCTGATGATCTTGGTCGGACCATTGCTGATGCACGGAGACGCTGCGAAACTGACAAGGAGAGGGAGAATTTGGATCGCATGTTAGAGGATCACAAAAAGTCGTTGTATCCAGGATGCGATAATAGTCTGAAAAAGCTGGGCTGCACACTGGATTTGCTAAAATGGAAGGCACAGGAAGGTGTAGGTGACTCATCATTTGAAAATTTGCTGAAAATGTTGAAGAATATGTTCCCGAAGAATAACGAGTTGCCCGCCAGTACGTATGAAGCAAAGAAGGTTGTCTGCCCTCTAGGTTTAGAGGTTCTGAAGATACATGCATGCATTAATGACTGCATCCTCTACCGCGGTGAATACGAGAATTTGAATGAATGCCCTGTATGCACTGCATTGCGTTATAAGATCAGAGGCGATGACCCTGGTGACGATGTTGAGGGCGAGAAACCCAGGAAGAGGGTTCCCGCCAAGGTGATGTGGTATGCTCCTATAATACCACGGTTGAAACGTCTGTTCATGAACAAAAAGCATGCCAAGTCGTTGCGATGGCACAAAGAGGACCGTAAGTCCGACGGGGAGTTGAGACACACCGCTGATGAAACGCAATGGAGAAAGATCGACAGAGTTTTCAAAGATTTTGCAGCTGACGCAAGGAACATAAGATTTGGTCTAAATACTGATGGCATTAATCCTTTTGGCGAGCAGAGCTCCAGCCATAGCACCTGGCCCGTGACTCTATGCATCTACAACCTTCCTCCTTGGTTGTGCATGAAGCGGAAGTTCATTATGATGCCAATTCTCATCCAAGGCCCTAAGCAACCCGGCAACGACATCGATGTGTACCTAAGGCCATTAGTTGAAGAACTTTTACAGTTGTGGGCCAGACCTGGTGTACGTGTCTGGGATGAGCACAAAGGAGAGGAATTTGACCTACGAGCGTTGCTTTTTGTAACCATCAACGATTGGCCTGCTCTCAGTAACCTTTCGGGACAGACAAATAAGGGATACAATGCATGCACGCACTGCTTACATGAGACTGAAAGTGTACGTTTGTGACGCCCGGACAATTAAGCTACAGTGAACCTCCGCTAATGATGCCACATCACCTCGGTTACTGTTGATAAACCCGCGTCAGTTCGAAACCCAGTTCAAAATTCAAATTCAAAATCAAGCAAACAATAAAATATTTTCAAATATTAAAACTAAAATGTTAGGGTGTTGCCAAATAATGCATAGGTAATTATTGGTGGAGAACCAATTCTTTATAAAATGTTTAGATGCACTAAACTAATTAAATCAGTAGCTAAAACCATTAATTTGGGATGAAACTTTTTGTGGTTGTGACATAAGTTGTAGCATCAATTTAGGTGCCACTTTGGTATTTTATTAAAACTGAAATAATTAGGATCTAAAAAAAAACAGAAAAGAAAAATAAATAAAAAGAAAAGGACTAAACAAAAACAACAACATAAAAAAAAGGGAAAATCCCCCCACCCCCGCTGGGCCTCGGCCCAGCTCCGGCCCAGCCGGCCATGCAGTCGGCCGGCCCAGCCGGCCCCTCCCACTCCTTATCCCTCGTACCCCTGAACCCTAGCCCACTCGCTCCCACTCCCCTCCCCTCACGTCGCCACTCCCCCTCCCCACCCCCGAGTGGATCTGGATCGGGGGCA